TGACTATAACTCAATAAAAAAAAAGTTAAAAAATAAAAATAAAACCAGGCCTTTAGGGTGGGCCCTCTGCAGTGTCCTTGTAAAAAGAGGAAACTGGGATGCAGAGAGACACTAGGGATGCACCTGTAGAGAGAACAGACACAGGAAGAAGGCGGCCGTCCAACTGCAAGCTTCAGAAGAAGCTCAACTCTGTCACCTGAACTTGGTCGCACTTCCAGGCTCCAGAACTACGAGAAAATGGATTTAAGCCATCCGGCCTGCAGTGTGTTGCTACAGCAGCCCCAGAAGACAAACGCAACTACTCATATAGCTTCACAGAATCAACGTCATACCTTCACAGTCACATGACAGAGATGAAGAGGAAAGTGGGGTACGGCAGGACCGCACGCCTGTTGTCAAGCAACGCTCGCACGTAACTCCACTGGGAGACAGACGCGGCCAGAAGATGCAGCCCTGCGCTTCCCTGAAGGGATACACGTGCTGATAGGAGAAGCAGAAAGAGTCCGTTCTGTATGGGAAGAATGTGACAAGGTGACAGCAGGATGTGTCAGCAGAATGAAAACCGTACACCAGTCCTGGGGGCAACCCTCACAGCTCTTCCTCCGTTTGTCCAGGATCCAGCCACCTATAGGCCTTGGCTGCCCTCTGGACTATTGCATCAGCCTCCCCAGGGGTCTTTCTGCTTCTTCTCTGGCCCTTTCCCCACTGTCAGTTCTCTGTTCAGCCTCCAGAAGAAGCCTAAAATGTAACACAGAGCCTGCCTCCTCCATCTCACCTTTCCAAAGGCCTCCTAACACACTTAGACTAGAATCCAAAGGCCTTTCCCTTTGTGGCAGGGTTCTTCATGACCTAGCCCTCCCCACCTTCTCTCTTTGCACTCTCTTTGCAGACTGGCCCCCTCAGCACGTCTCAGGCCCCTGGACCTTTGCATGTGCTTTCCCCTCCTATTCCACCCCTCTGTCAGATATCTGCATAGCTCATCTCATCTGGGACCTGCTCAGACCTCACCTCCTCAGAGATCTTTCTTGACCATCCTACTCAAAATCTCGTCTACCACTCTCTGTTCCTCTCCCCTGCTTTGGCACTTGTCCCCCTCTCCTATGTTACATATTTACATGTTGATCTCTGTAATCTGCCTCCTGCTGGCAGCTTGCCCCAGGGTAGGGGTCTCTCATTCTTGCTCTGTCCCCATACCACACACAAAGTAGACCCTTAATAAATATGTACTGATGTAATAATGAATAAGCCAAGTTCAAATAATTGCTGAAACAGGAGTTAGAGAACACAATGCTTTAGAAACACTGACTTTGGAACAGTAATAACAAAATCAGTGAAATTAAGATAGCAGGAAAGGGAGGAAGTGAGAGCAACGACTTCCCACCTGTTTTCAGCACAGTAGATAAACACAATCCGAAATTGAACCAAGGGCTTAAAAAACACAGGTTAGCCTCTTAGAGGTTTTCGTAACGTTTCCCCCACAGTCCCGGGCAAGGTCAGGCCCAAAATGTGGAAGGTGAAATGGGGAGCTCCTCGTTGAAAAGGATTAAAGGTGTCAAGCCAGAGACGGCGGAGCGTTGCACTCCGCGGGCGCCCATGGAGCTGGCCCTGGGGGCATGCATATTCCAGGATGTTACATCTCTGCGGCAAAGAAGCGTTTATCTAAAATGCAGCCTAAATTCATTTGTTCCTTTTGTGTTAGATTCAGGGGAAATGCCTTATTTAAAAAAATGTACCACGAAGCTCTGATGTCACCTTCCTGAAACTATTTCTCTACTTCTGTGCGACCAGCGAGGTGCCTGGGACGCGCGCTCCGCCGCTGCTCCGCTCGGGCTCTCGCGTCT